ATAATTTTTAAAATATGTAGTGGAAAACAAGGTATCTAAGTTTATCTGTTATGTTCTCTGCTTAAACACAAACTAATTGAACTTAAAGGTTTAAGTGAATACAGAGTTCTGTTAATACTATTTCTTGAAATATGCTGTTCTAATTTTCAGGATACCCAGGTCACTGACATTGACTATATGGAAGATAAGAAAGACTTTACTTATGATACCGTCAAATTTCAAGGTCTCCCTGAATTTGTTAACGATTTGCATAATCATGGACAGAAATATGTCATCATCTTGGTAATGGTTGATTATATATGAATACACTTTTGATATTACACGTTTGCTAAGTGCATACATTTTTCTATAGTTTCTTCTTTTCAATTGTTAGGATCCTGCAATTTCCATAAACAAACGTGCCAATGGAGCAAATTATGAAAGCTATGACAGAGGAACTGAAATGCATGTGTGGGTAAATGAGTCAGATGGGACGACACCAGTCATTGGAGAGGTAAATTATAATATTCATTAAAGCTTTTTATTGATTAAATTTCTGTTGCCACAAAATTTCTGTAAATGTGTGTGTTCTTGCTTACAATTCTAGTGTTTATTTGACTGAGGAGAGAAATCTTAGAGTGAGTTCAAGAATCTCTAAAATTGTTCTTACAGAATTTAGCTTCTCAGAAACCCATGGCTCTACTGTCATTCCAATCCACCAGCACTTTGCAGAAGACAGTTGGGCAGTCTCCTGCCTTTAAGATTTACAGGCTTGGAAACCCAATGGAAGGTTCTATGAGTCATAATCAACTCACTAACCGGGATTTGTACATGGGGTTACAATGAACCACACACAAGTCGACAGCTCATGTCAATAGCAAGACGAGCTAAAGTGATTCCCCACCCCCCTTCTATCCTACAAGGAATATGTATATCTTTTCTTTTTTTTCTTTGACTGGCAAAACCGAAATTTTTTTGACATGGTGTCTGAACCAATTCATAACGGACCCTCCAGTGGGTTTTCAGAGGCTGTTAATTGTACAGAACAGATTACCTATCTCCTTCCCATGGGGCCACTGTTTAATTCAAACCAGCAGAGCAGTGTCACCTATGGTAGATCAGTGCAACTCCAAAAGGACTATGCTGCTAGTTTCCTTTAACTTAACAGAAACATAGAAAGAATTCAGTAGTAATCAAAAGAGCATCGTAACTCTATATTTTTTATCGTTTTCTTTGCCTAAGCTCTTTTTTTAAATTTTTTATTAGTTTTAATGAAAGTTAATACAGACTTTGGGTTTCCATTCATTCATTGTTGCACTTTTCTCCCTGCCCACCCCCCCTCCCAATTCACTCTTCTCTTTGAAAAGTAAAAGAAAAATACTTTAATTGTTTTACAATCCCTCCCCCCAAGTCCACTCCACTGTGCAGCTTTCGTTCTGGACTCCTGCCATGATAATAATAATAATACCTAATCCTATATCCCTTTTAAACAGTTCTCTCCCTCATTTGTTTCAGTGCAGTATAGATCATTCCTCCCGTCCTTCTCTGTCTTCCCTCAACCCTGATGTCAGTCCTGTTTTACACCAGTGGCCCCATGCAATATTTGTCCTTTTGTAACTGAGATAGTTCACTCAGCATAATGTCCTCCATGATTATGCGTTTTGTTGCCTAGGGTTTTTAGTATCTCATTCTCTTGTTTATTTTTTCTCTGTTCTCCTTTTAATACTTTCATGTAAATCTGAGTTCATTGTGAAAATGATGCATGAATAGCCCACACTTAGTGAAGTTCAAAATTTTACTATTTACTATCATACTCTGCTGTATAAAATTTGTCTTCCATTTGTTCATCAATAATTTATAAATCTACATGGGTAATCCATTCTTTTAGGTATGGCCTGGTTTAACAGTATACCCTGACTTCACAAGTCCACAATGTGAAGAGTGGTGGGCAGATGAATGTTTACGTTTCCACCAGCAAGTGCCATTTGATGGACTTTGGATTGTAAGTTACATTGTTAAACCAGTGGTTTTACATAGTAAACATATTTTTATTTGAATAAAAATGATAAGTAAAAAGATACTGTTTTTTTAAAAAAATGTTTTAAACAACAATTATAACAGAATCCCAACATATTTCTATAGGATGTGTTAATATTCTACTTAGCATATTCTTGGGTTAAACATAGTAAAGACTAAAACATGGAATTGAGATATTTTCTTTATATAATAAAATACATTTCTATGTAATAAAATCCATTTCTATTACTGTGGTTTTATATATATACACACACACACACACACACACACACACACACACATACATACTGTTTGTTGTTATGTGCCATTGAGTCACTTGTGACTTAAAGCGACACGATGTATGACATCCCTAAACCCTGCTCTGTCCTGTGCCAGTCACACCATCTCTGACACCCACACCGATTTCCCCAGTCACTGAATCAATCCACCTCATAGAGGGTCTTCCCCTCTTGTGCTGTCCCTCCACCCTCCCAAACAGGACATCTTTCTTCAAGGACTGGTCCCTTCTTGCAACATGTCCAAAGTATATCAGACGAAGCTTAAGAATCCTTGCCTCCAAGGAGCAGCCTGGTTTAATCCTCCCTACAATGAACCTGTTAGTTCTCTTAGCAGTCCATGGTATAGTCAATACTCTTCTCCAGCACCACAGCTCAAAGGCATCAATTCTTCTTCTATCCTCAGTAGTCATTGTCTAACTTTCTGACGCATCACAAGTGATTGCAAAGACCACGGCCTGTATCAGACACACCTTAGTCTCCAGAGTGACAGCATTGCTCTTCAGTACTTTGGAGTGTTCCCTATCAGCAGACTTTCCCATCACAATGCATCTTTTCATTTTCTGGCTACTGGTGCCAAGAGTTTTGACCATGGAGCCAAGCAAACCAAAGCTGTGAACAACCTCAATCTCTTCACCATCCAACCTGATGCTGCTAATTGGTCCAGTCATGAGAATCTTTGTCTTTTTTATATTGAGCCTCAATCCATATTGAAGACTGCAGTTCTTGACCCTCTAATAATTGATTGGAAAGACTCTTACCACTGGACCAATAGGAACCATCATCATAGCTGAAGAAATAATATCAACATCATGATAGATGAAACTGTCAACAACTTCATCTTACTTGGATCCACAATCAACACCCTTGGTACCAGTAGTTAGGAAATCAGGAGACTTATTGGGAAAAATCTGCAATTAGGAACCTTTCCAAAGTATTGAGGCATAATGCTGTTAGCTTGAGAACTAAGGTGTGTCTTGTTCATGCTGTAGTCTTTCTGATCACTTGCTGTGCACCTTAGAGCTGGACAACGAATAGGGATGACAGAAGGAATTTATGTCTTTGAACTGTGGTGTTGGAGAAGAGTACTGAAAATCTCATGGGCGGCAAAAAGAAAACAAACAACAACACAAGTTTGATAGATATACAACAATTACAGTTTCATATCTATAATTAAAACTGTTAAAATGTTAGATTTTTATAATCATCAATGAGTAAAGTTTTGGCATTATCTATTTTGAACAGATATATTTATACAAAGAAAATAGTATAATTTTTATCATTATTGTGACTTATTCATACTTGATATTGACATTAAATAGTGCAGTTAAGGCTGTTGCTTGCATTAATAGATTTTTACTTGTCTTCTAGTACTTACACAATACTATGATTGCTTGAGAGGGAAAAGTAATTTTCAAATAATCAGATAAATTTATCATTTAGTTTTTATAACTATTTAAAACTATCTGTTGTTATTTTGTATCTTTTTAGGATATGAATGAAGTTTCCAGTTTCATTCAAGGTTCAAGAAAAGGGTGTGAGGACAACCGGTGGAATTATCCACCTTTTACTCCTGGTAAATTATCTTAATGATTGGTAAACTCTGGCTATACTTTTAAACTACAAACTTCATTATCATTTGTAGACTCTGAAAGAAACTACTGTTTTAGTCTTCCAAGATATTAATTCTCATATTCTAGTGGGAGCATGATTTTTAAAGATTATATAATTATTGAGTCACCTTTGTTGTTGTTTTTAATGTGGAATTAGTTCTGACTCATGAGAATCTTATGCATCAATAGATCAACTATTAGTCAGTCCTCAGCTGTTTTTATGATCATTGGTGTGTTTATACTCTCATTAGTGGCTTTTGTGACAATCTTTCTCATAGAAGACTTTATTCATATTTTAGTGATAATCAGGTTTATTAAACATCATATCACTTTTCTTGATATCAATATTTACTTCTAAGATCTCCAAAGCAAGCCAAATAAAGCTTACAAATCTTATTTTCAAGAAACATTGTGTTTATATTTCTCCTACGACATAATTGTTTCTTTTACTGGCAATTCACAATCCAAAATTTACTTTATCAATATCACAACTTGAATGCATCTTTCTCTTTCTCTCTCTCTCTCTCCCCCCCCTTTCCGTCCTTCCCTCTCTCTCTTTTTCCTCTATCTTTCATCCCTCACCCTCTCTCCTGCTTCCCTCTTATCAAGGTCAATTTTGTAGAAATTGGCTTTGTCAATTATCAATTGCATTTTTTTCTACTTTGCTGTATAACCAACATTCATGGAAGCAGCTGTTTTGACATCAAATAATGTATTACATTGCAAATCTGCAGAAACACAAACACACATGCCCCTTAAAAGTCTTAAATGCACAGATAAAAAAGTGCACCTAGACCAAGACACAATATGTGTCCTTATTTCATAAGTATGTGAAAGTTGGGCAGCGTGAAAGAAGGACAGTCTAGTGAACTGATTTTATTGTGGTGATGGGAAGGAATGTTCAATATACCGTAGAACACCAGAATAATGGGCATACCATTCCTGCAGGAAGAGCAACCAGGATGTTCCTTAGAAGCAAAGGTAGTGGGACAAATCAAAAAGAGGAGTTAACCTAAGGGAAGGTGTATCATGCTTGATAAAGTATAGGTAGTGGGACAAATCAAAAAGAGGAGTTAACCTAAGGGAAGTGTATCATGCTTGATAAAGTATAGCAAAGAAGGAACACTCTGACGCAGGAACTATACAAGCAATATTTTGTTTGGTTACATAAGTCTCTTGATAAGGAATGCCAAATTTACATACAACATGCAAATATGAACTAATCTCCATCAAGATGGTTGAATTAAAATTTTGAGATACATACAGTAGTCCATAGTAATAAAAATGTGCTACTTTGTGACATACGTCAATTCACTATTATTTATTTCATTTTACATTAAAGATCCTTTTTATGTTTTAATATGTTCAACGCTTTATTTATGCAGAGTACACTATATTGAAATATGATTTTGACTTTATAAAATTAGATGCAATCTTGTTCCACCTTGATATATAAACTCAATTTAAAGGTTGACATTCTAATGCAACTCATTAATATTCCAAGAACTACATAAATGAAATTCTTATATGTATGTGTATATGTATATGATGTTGTTATAAGTCATAGTTAAAGCAACAGCACCTAAAAAATGACAATGGAATACGTCTGAAATTAGATTTCATTTTGATAACCTGATTTACTAAAAAGTGTTTACAAGAAACTTTAATTGTATTCAGTAATATATATTTATGTGTGTGTGAAGGGTGTGTATGTGTGTATGTGCATTTAGAATATATCTTCTGTGACTTTATTTATTATATATAAAGGCATAGAATTTATTAAGATAAACGTTTATTCATTAAGATAAGTGGTTAATAGTTATTCTAAATGCAGTAAGAATGGATTATGTGGACATTAACTGAAACAAAATTCAATTAAATCTACTCTTTTTATTAATTTGTCAAAGATGATATTTCATAAATATATTGCATAGCATAGCATATAAAGGAATGTAGTTTAACATACACAATATCTCTTAAATATCTTAATACTTTTTTTACTCTAAGATATTCTTGACAAACTGATGTACTCTAAAACACTCTGCATGGATACTGTGCAACACTGGGGAAGGCAGTACGATGTTCACAGCCTGTATGGATACAGCATGGCTATCGCTACAGAGAAGTAAGTGTAATTTCTTTTAGAAACTCCTTTAATAATGATTTTCTGGAAGTATTTGTGATAATTTACTAATGTATTTCTGAAATAGAGTAAGAAAATATTATATATGGTATATAAATAATATTTAAAGCATATATATTTATAGAGAATATGCACTACTGTCATGCTAAAATGTGCAGCTTTTAAGGTCTCTCCGTTCTTTTGCTAATATTCATTAATTAGGAACCTAGTTATCAAATAATAGATAATATATGCATTTACTTGTGATTCCTTTAAAATTCTCAGGTAGAAATTGTCCTAAAAGAATAGACAATATTGCATATTTGAATATATCATAGGCATGGATTTTGTAATTCACCACAGAGAAAGTTATGGAAACTTTTCATTTTTATAAGTTTTTTTCTAAAATATGCATTTCAATTAAAAATTGGGTTTAAGGTGGTATTTTCATTATGTGAAATACTAATTTTTTAATATAATAAACTAAAAATAAACATTTATAAACTAGAAAATATACTCAAGGATATATATACACATACACACACATATTGCAAAGCTACTGAAACATATATATACATATACATATACACATACATATATACATATATGCATACATATATATATATATGCATACATATATATACACATATATCACACATAAACATTTACACAGACACACAGACACACACACACACGACAGTGTTTGTTAGAGCTCCGGATTAAAGCACTGTTGGAAGCAGGAGTGGCATCCCCTTTTGAAATAGCTTGCCTCCAGAAACTGTATGAATGTGAAGAAATGATGAAAATTACACAAGTGCTCAGGTCTTTCTTTCATCGGGTCTCTATGAGTCGTCTTTGACTTGAAGGTCCTTAACAACAGCAAGCAAGGCTTTGAGTTGTTATGCTTCTAGCTGACCTCACATCGTGTCTGTCTTTCCTCTGTGTGAATTTTGGTCTATTCTGCTCTTTTTATTATTATTATTAGTGTGTGTGTGTGTGTGTGTGTGTGTGTGTGTACCGTCAATCAGATCTGACTCGTACAGGAGGAGATTGTTCCTCCTTCCCCGGCAGAGCATCTGGTGGATTCAAACCGTGCACCTCTGGGATTGCAGTGCAGCTTCTTGCCACTAGGCCACCAGAGCTCCCTTATTCTGCTCTTTTTATATAAGGCACTTCTGAGTGACTAGGTTAGGGAGTCACCTCCTCTAGAATAACTTCATGAACAACCACAACCTTGAAAACAACCATAAAACAAACAAACAAACAGAAAATAGAAACAAACCACAACTATTTCCATACTGAGTCATATTTACAGATCCATGAGTTAAGACTTCACATTTTCTAGGAGAGTATCACAATTCAGTAAAATAAGTTACTCAAAGTCTGATTCATTTTATAAAAGTTTTCCTTCCTATGTGTTTGATTAAAATATATTTATACAACCAAATATTAAGAGCAAATAGAAACATGATGTAAAATTTGATGAAAGTACTTCAAATATGATATGACTAGTGGTAAGAGCTCTGCTAGCCTAGTGGCAAGAAGCTGTGCTGCAATCCCGAAGGTAAGCAGTTCGAAGCTGCCAGCTGCTTCACAGAAAAAGTCTGGGCAGTTTGCTCCTTTGCGTTTAGCTGCCTCTGAAAACCCTCTGGAGGGTCTGCTTACTGGTGGGCTCCCACTCCATGGTACACAACAACAACAAATATTAATTATTCTTTTCAGAGCTATCCAAAGAGTTTTACCTAACAAGAGAGGCTTCATCCTCACCCGGTCAAATTTTGCTGGAACTGGAAAACACGCTGCCCATTGGCTGGGGGACAACACTGCTTCATGGGAACAAATGGAATGGTCTATTACAGGAATGCTAGAGTACAGCTTGTTTGGGATACCTTTGGTAAGTTTTCACATACAGTATTATTTCTAAAACTACAAATTATATGAACATTTAAGCATAATTTTATTAATGATTTATGGTAAAATATTAATAAAGGCATGCTTCCTAAGAAAACCCTTCAACATAATGCTTTTGGAATTTGGAGAAAAAGAAGACTATTATACATTTCTATTTCTATTTATGTCTATTTATATTTTTTCTATTTCTATTTATAATTTTAAGAGGCACCATAAGGCATAAACAGCTAAATTCTTGACTGCTAACTGAATGATTAACAGTTCAAGTCTTTTCAGTCCCTCAGCAGACGAATAATTATCTGAATTAATGTCACCTCTAAGTGATCTAACAACTATATTATTAAAATCACTAGGAAAAAAATTAAGACAAAAAATTCAATCAACGAATGAGAATAAGTAAATGAATATACAAGTAAAAGAAATTGTAAGAAACAAAGTATGAGTATAAAACCAAAATCTTACACAATAACAGGAATACAAATAAAATGATCGGAAAAATACCAGATAGATTGTTCTAAAAAAATAAATGGTCCTAAATATTTATTTTCCATCTCCACTTTATTTTTATTTTATATTGATTTGTATACAAAATTTGTTTGCATTGTTTACTATTCATGTACCTTGTGTTCCTTTCACACATTCCTACGTTCACTTGTTTTTCAAACATTAATTTATGTACATGATATTTTATAAATTCTATTACCGTCGACCTATAGCTACTACTACCCCATCTTTTAAGGTCCTCATTGTATCATAAAGTGTGAGTTGAAGTAAATATTTATGCATATGAAATTATGCACTGTTGACATTTGAGACTAAAGAATGCTACAAGAATAAATAAAATAACAAAATTTTA